TAAAAAGTTAAATTAGGCTGCATTGTATGAAACCACCCAGATAATGATGATGGTAATGAAGCTGACTGTTATGAAGATGATGTAAAGGATGAACAGCAGGCGGTCTATGATTAAACCTATCTGGATCCATTCCTCTGTGCTCAGGCTTTTGCTCAGATGCTGCTCCACCTGAAGGCGGATGGCCTGGAGGACTCTGCCCAGGCTCCTCAGCTCTTGCAGGGTTTTGTCCTCACCCAGTGGCCCCTTCTGCTCCAGAGTCTTGTATTCCTCTGTCACTGGAGAGTAGACTGGCATTTCTATTGAGCGGAGACAAGTCAGAAGATTATGTCAGCTTTGACATTTTTTTAAGAATTTGCATATCCTGATCTTGTTTCCTACCCTGTGTGACTGGATTTTGGATCACTGTGTCGTTCCTATCTCTGGGCTTTGGAGGAAGGCATACTAGTCGACCCAAGATTTTAAGAAAAAGCACTCTGATCCAGCGAGGAGCTCGAGAATAGTTTGAGGAACCGTGCAGGAAGCTTGTAACGACAATAGTTTCCAGTAGACTGCCCACCATCATAGTCAGGCACATAGAAAGGAAAACATCTATAAAAATGATAGTGGAATAATAATTAATGTTCACATTTTACAGACAAATACAAGTTAAATCCAGACAAAATATTTAAAAATTAAAATCATGAATATTTCTGGTCTATTCAGGGGAATGGAGACAAGCCGTAAACTATTTAAGAAATATCCTCAGCCCCTGTCAGCTCGGTGACAAAAATGGTCACAGATGACGCTTTAATCTATGAGACTGTGAGTCAACTGCTCTCAAAAATTCTGTGTTTGTTGTAATGCATATATTGATTTTCGTAAATCTTGATTCTGACATATTTGTTATTCATTATTTATAAATAATAATTAAAAAGACCCAAACTATCACTGAAACTGATAAAAATTAGATTAAAACTAAACATTTTCATATAATAAGAACTAAACTGAAATGAGCAGACCTACAAACAGAAAGTTGAAACAAAATAACAAAAATAACTGTGCATTATAACCAAAAACCTGGCACTTTGTTAATAATTCGATATGATGATTTGTACTTTTTAAAGGTATACTTTTAAGAATATATTATACATCGTTTTCTTTCTCACATGTAGCTTCATCATTACATTATGGTAGTTATACTGTTATATCTCTAGGTGGCTCAGAACAAGCAACCCTTTAGTATTTGGGCCAAAAAGTCACATTGGGACGAAATGTATACCAAACCAGACAATGTAAACGCACTTATGAGAGGTATGTCATTTCCAGTAACAGGCAGCAGGTCATTCATTATGAGCAGGAAGACGGTGTAGCCCAGGATCAGTGTCATCTTGAACAAAGACCGGTCGACTTCTTTGGGAGGCAAGATGAAGCTGAAGAGGTCCACAGTGATGAGGAAGCAGCTCGGGAGCAGGAGGTTCACTACGTACAGCATGGCCTGGCGCCGCAATGAGATCTGCAGCAAAGTGAGAATTTAACACTAAGGACGGTGCTGATGTTCCTGGGTGTTTTTGATGTTTTTAGAACTTTTAGATGT